CATTTAAATACTTTGTAAGTGGTTAATTAAAATGCAAAAAGATGTCATTTTTAACTGAATTTCTAAGCAAAATTATTGACAAAACTCCCAAAATCCCAATGATCCTGACAGATGTATTTTTTGTCAAGATAGTATTTCTCCTAGTTTAAAAGACTCAATCACTATATTGTCTTGCATACACTTTTTCCACTATGATTGTATTTTTAATTACTATAGTTATTTTAATATAGAATTACAGCTGTTTTGTTCACTATATCGTACACAAAGTACAACCCCAAACAATCATACTGAAGTGCCTGTAGAAGTACATAATGAAAATGAAAATACTCAAGAAAATACATATAATAACAAACAAGAAAGTCAAAGCAAAAATACTCAAGAAGCAAATGAAATAAATATGGATGAAAATAATTATGTGAAGACTAGTAATGAATGTGAGGGAGAGTCTGAAAGTAATGAAAATAGAAATGAGTCTGATAGAAGTGATAATGAAAATAGGGATGAGGCAGAAGATGATGAGTACTATAATGAAGAAGATGAAGATAATACTGTTACCATCACCAATAACAACAGACAACATATTAGAAAACAAAAAGTTTAAAAATTTATATTAGAAATAACAAATAGTATGGAAGATATGGAGGAAACAGAAGACGATGTTGATAAAAATGAGCCAAATACAGAAGAAGGATCTAGTACAGTAATCAATCAAATATCACCAAGAATGTTGGTGAATCTATATAAATTAACAAATAAAGCAAAAAGTAGATCGATTAAAAGTTTGATAAACAAAATTGCGTCATAGTATCGGTATAGTGAAAATCATGAAAGAAAAGTCGGAGAAATAATATATAATAATCAATATTCTGAACGAGATGCTCGGTCAAAGCTTTATGATGAAATATTGGTATATTTACCAAATGTCAAGAGAGGACTCTTAAGAAAAAGAACCAAAAAAGCAAACAAGGTCTATACACTATTTAGACAAATCGGTGTGGACAAAATTGAATGCATTAATGTTACTAGAACTGATAAAATCTCAAGATTTACTTGCAATGAATTACAAACTATTATAAACCATTTTATTACTTAATAATATATGATGCATGCTTCAGATTTTTTTTTGCTTTAAATAGATTAGTATTTTTAGAGATCTCTAAATTTACTTGCAAAATTTAAACTAAAGTAAATCATTTTGTTTATTAATAAAATATATATGATGTATATTGTTAATACTTCATATTGCTTTCTTTTTTGTTTTTTTTTAATGTTAAGCTTGTAATATTTATCTTTATATAATATATAGTTATTGGATAATTCGTAGTTAATTGTTCTGCATTGTTACAGAATTTAGATCGATCCAGAATTGTCACATGTTATTTGTAAATTGTAAAATGAAGTAGGTCATTTTAGATTTAGTATCTATTTACCAATTAAAAAAAAAGCAAAAAAAAAATTGAAACCGGTAATTTTTTATAATTAAATGAAAAATTAATTAAAATAAAAAAATTTTCAAAACTAGCGAATAAAAATAATTAGATACTTACCTAACATTAATTGCTAGTTACATTAAACAGATACATTCAAATATTCATATATAGTTTAATTATTTAATTAAAAGTTTTTGTGTAAAGCATATTCGCATTTTCTTAAGTATAATGAATTTCTTTTTCTGCAAGAATATGATTTGATGATGCAATTTGTTTTTCGACTAGACAAGTTTATTGTAAGATATTGTACGTTGAACTAATATTATTATTCATAATACAAATATTGCAAAAAATATATATAATTAATATTAATGTTAATATTATTATATTTTTTTATTACTTACTTAAAAAACATATATGGCAGGTACTCATTAATACTATAAGCTTGGCCATCTTGAAAATTATAGGTTGGATATTTGTGATTATGATTAGTTGAGAGTATAAGATTTTGTCTCACTTAACAAAAGTATGTTATTTAGTGGTACAAAATTAAAATCAGATAATTAAGGTACCCAGTAGTTCAAGTTCATTTTCTGCCAATTGTCAAGGATAAGATTTTATTTTTAATAAAATCTCGGTTTCTTTTATACTTAAAAAAGCTGATAGT